AGTGTGTGAGTGTGTGAGTGTGTGTTTTTTTTGCGCCCTGCCCGCCGGCCAGCCCTGCGGCGTCTACACCGAGCGCTGCGCCCGCGGGCTCCGCTGCCTCCCCCGCCAGGGCGAGGAGAAGCCGCTGCACGCCCTGCTCCACGGCACCGCCGTCTGCCTCAGCGAGAAGAGCTACCGCGAGCAAGCCAAGGCCGGTGAGTGACCCCCCCGCTTCTCCCAGCCTCATCTTTCCCGGATGCTTCTCCGCCTTGACGGGTCCTTTTCCATCTTTCCGTCTGCTTCTTCCACCCCGCCACCATCTCCCGGCTGCTCTTCCCCTCTTTCCGGGTGCTCTTCCATGCCCCTCCGCTTGCTTTTCCGCCTTTCCGGCTCCCTTTCCATCTTTCCGCTTGCTTTTCTACTCCCTCCCACTGGCTGCTCTTCCCTAACCCCCCGGCTGCTTTCCCACCCTTCCGGCTGCTTTTCCATCTTCCCAGGTGCTCTTCCATGCCCCCGCTTGCTTTTCCGCCTTCCCGGCTACTTTTCCATCTTTCCCCCCACTTTTCCATCCCCACCCTCCCCAGCTGCTCTTTCATCCCCCCTCCCCCGCCGTGTGCTTTTCTGCCTTTCCGGCTGCTCTTCCATTCTCCTCCACCACCACCAGCTGCTTTTCCATCTTTCTGGCTACTTTTCCATCTTCCTGCCTGATTTTTCTCTCACCCACCACGCATATACACACCCCGGCTGCTTTTCCATCTTTCCAGCTATTTCCCCATTCCTTCCCCTCCCCACCCCCTCCACCGGCAGCTTTTCCAAGCCCCCTGTTGCTTTCCCACTGCTTCTCCACCACCACCACTTCCCCTGGCTGCTCTGCCATCTCCCTATTGCTTTTCCACCTTTCCAGCTACTTTTTCATGTTTCCGGCTGCTCTTCCACCCCCCTCCGTTGCTTTTCCATCTTTCTGGCTCCTCTTCATCCCCCCCAGCTGTTTTTCCATCTTTGCAGGTACTCTTCCATCCCCCTAGCTGTTCTTCCATGCCCCCCGCCGCTTTCCCCATCCTTCTTGCCATCCATGCCCTGGTCGAACCTCCTGTTGCATCATCTCACAGCCTCCCCCACCCCCCCTTCCATCATCACCTCTGGGTTGTCCCATCCCCAATGGAAAGCTTTTCTTCCACACCTCCCAGATGCACCCTGTTAGTCACAGCTGCATCCCAGTCCTTCCCCAGTTGCATCCTTTACATCTTTCCTGCATCCCTGTCTTCACCCTCTCCCTGACCCCTTTCTCTTGCCATATCCTCCACCTTGCTCCAGGGCCCGAGCTGGCCTCTGCAGCTTGAGATAGAGGGGAGGGCAGGGCACCTCCTTGCAACCATCCCCCCATCCCCAAAGTCCTCAGCCCCCCCCAGGTTTGTTGCTCAGCCTCCGGCTTTCTCCTTGCGATCATTGCATCCTGCTCTTCCTGGCTGCCCGCTGCTGGACGTCTTTGTTGAGCAATGGGTTTTAGCCCAGGGAGGTGCAGGTGCATTAGGGACAGGGAATCTGTGAAAGCAAAACATAATGATGGTGTTGCTAATAATCAGAACGAATAGGTTAAAAGCAAGCATGAAGGCTGGCATGGTAGCAGCAGTGCAAAGCCAAGCTTCTGAAATGTTTGCACCTTGCACGTGACAAAAGCACGAAAGAAAGCGCTCCTTCATTTTGGCATGCGTTAAACTCCCATTTCTGGATCCTGTAGCTTGTGCAAGGACACGTTCCCTATATTCTTCCAAATACATCTGTATTTCTGCCACAGTGTGAAGGGGAGGCAGGGAGGATGTCTGCATGTCCAGGGGACCAAGGAACCACTTGGCAAAAAAACCCCAGAAACAAGCCCCCCGCTTTTCTTTGGTCCATGAAAAAGACATTTTTGCTTGTTAGCAAGCTTCTGCTTATACCCGCACAATGGGAATCCGTTTGTCCTTTCTAGCACCTAATAAATCTTGGTGCTTTTATTATTTTTCCCCTTTGCTGCTTGCAGGCAGCGGATGTGTTGCTACACTCCATCCTTCAGAGCACAACCAACTGTGTATAACTTCCCCCCTCCCTCAAATGACAACAAATGTCCAAACTCCCTTCAAATCTGCCAGAAACAGCAAAGCTGAGCTTGGTTTTCTGAAGGGGAGCTGGAGGGGGCAAGGACTGGGAAGGGACCCGCACAGGGAGCGGAGGTGAAGCCAGGAGCTGCGTTCCTGCCGTGGAGCCCAGGAAGCCAGGCAATAACCCGCTGGCAGCAGAGCTATGTGAAGTATCCCGGAGCGCGTCATCCGCGGTGTTTATTTACTCTGTGCGTGTGTGTGCGTGGCCAGGGGCAGGCGGTATGGTCGGGAAGGCGAAGCTATGCAGCTGAAACACAGCAGCGGCTGGGAGAGTGGGGCTGAGGGTGCCCCTTGCAGACCAAAGGCACCCAAAAAAGCTTCGGCGCTTGTCTCCCAGCGGGAATCTCCTTTCGTTCCACCTGTCTCACTCTTCCCAAGGAAACTGGTCCTTTGGCAGGTGCTTTGCCTGAAAAGTTTGGCCGGTCACCTCATAATATTAGTGCTTTTGGTTTTCTTGGGATGGGGAGCACCTGTTGAATGAAGAGGAGAGGGACAGGAAAGAGGTTGCAGGTTTGTTGCAAAACCAACCCCCTGGCACTACCTGCACTTCCAGTTTGGACTCCCCGAGTGCCGCAGGGGGCTCTTTTCAATGGGTTTTGTTCGCAGCTGGGAGATGAGCCTGGATCGGAAAGGCTGCTGCAGGAAGCCGCGGGAGACTGGCAGGCTCCTCTTGAGATTTGTGCGATTGCAAAAAAGATATAAAAAATAAATCAGGAATTCCTGAGGACGGGAGAGGGAAAAAACTCCCTTGGCATTCGACTGGTAGCGTGTGAGAACAAAGTATATTTTCATAGGCGTGTTTCTAAGCAACGGGGCAAGGAAAGAAATGAAGTTTGACTTGAACTTTCTGGCCTCTGCCAGTTTGGCCAGCAGTGCAGGGACCGTGCACTGGGGAAGCTGGCCTGGCCCTCCGATCTATCAATGACCAAAATTGGCCCTGAGATGCAAACTGCTGAGAAAGAATCAGCACTCTGCAAAATAAACTATGTGACAGTGGCGAGGACTAGATCAAACTGCATTTCTATCTATTTCTGTTCTTGTGCTGGCCGAGTTTAAAATCACAGATGCTTTCCTCCTTATAGTCGAGGCGGAGACGCAACAAGCAGTATTGCAGGAGCCCAAGCCTGGGAGGCCAGGCTTGGCTCTCCTGTAGACCAGATGTCTTGCCTGGGGACAAGATGCTCCCAGGTACTGTGCCTCAGTTTCCTCATCTGTAAGCTGGGCACAGCAGTACTGGGAAACGCCGGAGCTACTGGGCAGGATGTGCTCCTGGGTTGCTAAGAGGTCGGAAATGAAAGCAAGTGTGGGATTAAAGAGCTTCGGTAAGGCTTGTTTTAAGTAGATGGATGTGTAGGTACTGACAGGACAGTCCCTGTAGTCCTTCCAGGCACAACAGTCAGACGCTGTCCTTTACCAAAAGCCAAACAACACGGCTGTAATTGACTGTTCCTGGTAAAAAACCATGAATGAGCTTCATTTATGGCACAGGCTGCAGGATTCTGGGTTTTCTTTGTTTTGTTTAGGTTTCCTTTGAAATACACCACGTCTTTCCATTTTTCTCCCTCGTGCTCCTGCCAGACTTCCTCCTGCTGAGACAGCAAGGTCAGGCCAAGCGCCGGGGAGCGGAGGGCACAGATTGGAGCCTGCTGCCCTAAAAAGGCTCGTGGAAAAACAAAGGTTGTCAAATATTTCCTTCTCTTTTTCTCATTCCTGCTCTCTTTCTAGAAAGCGAGCAAGACTTGGCAAGTTTCCTCATGAAACCGTGCGCCAACGATAACCAGGAGGGGAAAGAGGGGGGTGTGGAGAATTAGCCCTAAGAAAATCGTCTTTGCTGCGTCAGCTGGAAGTAGGCAGAGGAGGAGTGCTGCCGAGCCCAGGTTTCCTGCGGCTCGTGTTCGGTGCAGTCCTTTATCCCTCCCGGGCATATTCCCTCCACCCCATTTCTCCTTCTCGCTTGGGGATGAGGGGCGAGCGATGGGGACATGGTGGGGCAGGTGGGCAGCTCTGCGCCGAGGTCCAGGGTGAGGGTGAGGGTGAGGGTTAGGGTTAGGGCAGGGGTCGTGGGAGCGGGGCGCTGGGGACGCGCCGGCTTGCGAACATGTGTCGCTCGGGGAGGGACCCGGCTGGTGCCGAGCGGCAGGTCCTTTGTGCGAAGCAGCTCCCGAGCTGTCAAGGCAAAAGCTAGTAGCAACAGGCCTGCAAAGCCTCGGATCCGAAACAGGAAAATCTCCATTTTTCTTTTGATCTGAAGTTTCAACAACAATAACAATATATTAAAAAAAAAAGAGGGTGAAAACCATCAGGTGCCAGCAAGAGAGCCGGGTTTCTGCGGTGTGTGTGTGTACGGGGGAGGGAGGGATGGGGTGGTTCAAACAGGAAAGGAGGGGCCTTGGCTGGAAAGATTTTTCGTCAGCCTGGTTTCTAAGGAAGGAGAGAGAATATTAAGTAGTTGATACAAATGAAATTCCTGCTGGGTGCCAGCAGAGTTCACCGGAGAAAAGACGTGGCTCTGTGCGTGTGTGCGTGTATGTGTGTGTGCATGAGTGATAGAGCTGGTCCCGAGCTCCCGCGCAGCGCTGTCGGCCTGGACCCGCTCCAGGTGACCGAAGGGAGCCCCTCCAGAGCCCCTGCTGCTGCAGCGCAGAACAGGGGCTGGCCTTAATGGGAGCCTCTGCAAACCTGAGGGATGCAGGAGGAAGGCTGTGTGCCTCCTCATGTTGCTATTTAAGCATGAGCATCCCATGCCCAGATGACCGTCGCAGCTTTGGCATGTTGGTGGTGTGAGCACAGTCGTGTGCGACTGGAAGCGTTTGCATGACTGAGGGGTGAGGTGTCCCGTCAGGCTCAGAAGAGAGGGGTAGGAGAGCTAGGGTACGTTTTGTGCCAGCTTTAGGACAGCCCCTCATTTCCTTTGGTCGGGTAGTTTGGCACACGTGTGTCAGGGCAGCCGGGGAGGAAGGACAGGAGGAGAAGCAGTGAGCGGGTGCTGCCTCACACGGAGCGCGGTGCTCTGCTTCCTCCTAACGTCCACTGGAAGTTTTACCCACGCTGGATAGAAAGGCAACGCAGATGTAGGA